TTTGTGTATCATCCCCATAGTCCTCACTTATAATTCGTATAAATTCTCATCTTATCCATCTAGTATATATATGTGTATATTATTATCATTGTTAATCATTTGTTTGACTATAACTATTATTTCATCGTTTTCTGCGAGATATTCAACATTTTAAATTGATTTATATTATAACATTCATTACATAATCATAAATCCATCCAATAATAATATGTCCTTATGTTATATTCTCTATTATTCTATTATCCTTATATTGTAAAATCCTCTAAAATATTTCATTTTTTTAAAATCTAACCATTGATAAAATAAGTCCCATATCTTGTAATATTGTTTGTCTTCTTGCTCTCTAATTTCAAATGTCCATTTACTCATTTCAGCACATTCCATAATTTTCTCGATAACTTCCTCCTGTATCGGAATTTTCTCATTGTTTCCAATTTTTAGCAAATACAGTTCTAGCCGCTGCTAATACATTTACAATTAAACATTTCAAATCTCTACTATATATTTCCGGCAAAATACCCAATAAAAATATATCTGGTTTAAAGTCTAATTCTGGGCATTGAAGTCCACAACTTCCAAGTTTGGAGACCTCTGCTCTAGTCCAAAAGAGGACCAAAAAAAGTCACAAGCTTCAGGAAAACTCCAGATATTATTTTGGTGGCTTTGGAGAGGATTCTGCTTGGTGTCCAAGAGCCATAATATATACCCCTGATATGAATGTAGCCATTTTTCACTCATTTTCTTGGCCAGGTCCAGTGCATTCCCTTATTTGTTCAATTGTGAAATGTTGGGGAGTTGGAATCTAAAATGTGAATCTGATAGAGAATCTTCGACGCTACCTAATATTCAAAGTAGTGAGTTTTGGATGATCAAGTAGGATCAAGAGCTGTGGTGGCGCACTGGTTAGAGTGCAGTACTGCAGGCTATTTCTGCTGACTGCTGATTGCCAGCAGTTTGGCAGGTCAAGTCCCACCGGCTCAAGGTTGACTCAGCCTTCCATCCTTCCGAGGTCAGTAAAACGAGGACCCAGATTGTTGGGGGCAAGAGGCTGACTCTGTAAAACCGCTTGGAGAGGGCAACAAAAGAAAACACCGTGAAGCGGTATATATGTCTAAGTGCTATTGCTAGTGCAATCAAGGAGAAAAAAATTCAACAAAATTCTGAATTGGACCCAGAATCCATCACATTTTTTTTCCCCTTGCAGATTCAATGATCTAGGAAAAGCCGTCATTTTTAAGTTTCTTTTCACTGCTTTATTCTTTTGCAAACAACGTATGTGCTGTACTGACCACATGTTCAGTAAGCAGTCTCCTAATGACTAAAATTGCCATTGTCTGCATCAAAGGTGGGTATTCAGCAGGTTGTGACCAGTTCTGGAGAACCGGAAGTAGAAAGTTTGAGTAGTTCGGAGAACCGGCCAATCCCACCCCTGACTGGGCCCGTCCCCATCTATTCTCTGCCTCCCATTGAATCCCAGCTGATCGGCTGGGTCTTCTTTCGTTGCTCTGCACAGAAGAACGGACCTGGAAAGTAGGTTAGTGGGGTGGGGAGGGAATGGGGATTTTGCAGTATCCTTCCCTTGCCATACCCACCAAGCCAAGCCCACAGAACCAATAGTAAAAAAGAAATTGAATCCCACCACTGGTCTGTAGCTTGGTGGGTGTGGCAGGGGAAGGTTACTGCAAAATCCCATTCCCTCCCCACCCCACTAACCTGCTTACCAGCTCCATTCTCCTGTGCAAGGCAACAAAAGAAGACCCAGCCAATCAGCTGGGACTCAGGAAACAGAGAAGAGATGGGGGTGGGGCCAGTCAGAGGCCAGATTTGCCAATTCTCTGAACTACTCAACATTTCCGCTACCGGTTCTCCAGAACTGGTCAGAACCGGCTGAATACCACCTCCGGTTCTACTGGTCCTGTGGGCATGGCTTGGTGGATGTGGCAGGGGAAGGTTACTGCAAAATCTCCATTCCCTCCCCACCCCACTAACCTGCTTTCCAGCTCTGTTCTCCTGTGCAGGGCAACCAAAGAAGATCCAACCGATCAGCTGGGACTCAATGGGAGGCAGATAATGGATGGGGGCGGGCCCAGTCAGAGGTGGTTTTTGCTGGTTCCCTGAACTACTCAAAATTTCTGCTACCGGTTCTCCAGAATTGGTCAGAACCTGCTGAATACCCACCTCTGGCCTAAACGACTGTGAGTTGTGTTTCCACTTGCCTCCAAAATAACCAGCAGTGGGGTTCACAAGGTATTTCGTGCAACCTCACTTCCGTTGCTGCAGAGACCCTTGTATAATCTGCGAATGAGCCTTGTCACCCTTTTAATTATTTCCTTTATCTTTTACTGCTTCAAAAGCGCCTCCGGTCTCCGTCCAAAGGGGAGGTTAAACATTTTTCCCAAGGCACTGCAATCCAGAATTTCTACACTTCTCTTTCATTGACTCCGAAGTTGAACATTTCTGGGCGTGGCTTGGCTTGGTAGGTGTGTTGTGGTTTGGTGGGCATGGCTTGGTGGGCAGGAGGATACTGCAAAATCCCCATTCCCTCCCCACCCCACTAACCTACTTTCCAGCTCCATTCTTCTGTGCAGAGCAACGAAAGAAGACCCAGCCGATCAGCTGGGATTCAATGGGAGGCAGAGAATAGATGGGGACGGGCCCAGTCAGGGGTGGGATTGGCCGGTTCTCCGAACTACTCAAACTTTCTACTTCCGGTTCTCCAGAACTGGTCACAACCTGCTGAATACCCACCTCTGTTGCTGAGTGAGAAATTTGGTGTCACTCAGAAACATAATTCTGTGATAAGTGAGTTTTGCCCCATTTTCTTGCCATGTTCGTCAAGCGAACCACTGCGGTTGTTAAATTGGTAATCCGGTTGTGAAGGGAATCTGGTTTTGCTTGTCTGAAGGTCACAAAAGGGAACCACATGACTCAGGAACCCTGCCACCATCATCAATGTGAGTCAGTTGTCAAGCATCTGAATGTAAATCATGTGACCATGGCAGTGGTGGGATGCAATTTTATTTTTACTACCGGTTCTGTGGGCGTGGCTTGGTGGGCGTAGCTTGGTGGGTGTGGCAGGGAAAGGATATACTGCAAAATCCCCATTCCCTCCCCACCCCACTAACCTGCTTTCCAGCTCCGTTCTCCTGTGCAGGGCAGCCAAAGAAGACCCAGCCAATCAGCTGGGACTCGGGAGGCGGAGAATAGATGGGGGCGGGGCCAGTCAGAGGTGATATTTGACAGTTCTCTGAACTATTCAAAATGTCCACTTACTGGTTCTCCAGAACCAGTCGGAACCTGCTGAATACCTACCTCTGGACCACGAGGATGCTTGCACTGGTCATAAGTGTGAAAAATGGGCATAAGTCATTTTTTCCAGTGCCTTTGTAACTTCGAACGCTCACCGAGTGAACTGTTGTAAGTCAAGGAGTTATGTTACAAACCCACTTAATAGACCTTGTTTCCAAGCAGACTTTATTAGGGCTGTGAACGACAAAACACAGTTCCCAGAAGAAACTTGACATGCAACTGCCCCAAAGCTAAACACATACATTAAGCACTGAGTGTACATGCGTGCAGGTGCAAAATATATATATATATATATCTTCATTTACACGGTCACCATTTAAATTACTGTGTAGTTTTTTGACATCTGCTCAAACAGATGTGACCCTCGCAGGCAGTTTGCCAAGAACACTGAGACTAAATATAGATTATATTTTGAAAGGCAGATGTTTTGAAAGACCAGATGTTTTTTTTCTTCTAAAAAAAAAAAGGACTAATAGAGCAACAGATTCCTGAGATGTTCCCGGATGTTAAAAATAAAAATAAAACAAACTAGAAACAAAGAAGGTCAGGGGATATATATATTTTTTTCCCCTCCAAAAACAGGTGTGGGATTGCTCTTAGGCTGGTCTGAAATTTTTTGCAAGGGGAAAAAAATACGCTATTAAAAAATGTAATCCTATCGACCATTTGAAATGACACAGAATTGATTTACTTGGCCCATCGGATATAAATGTTGGAATTCTTACCTGGTAGGGGAGGTATCTAGAACAAATTATAGATGCTGGAGAGTGGGAAGGTAAGATATGAAAGACGAAAAGAAATTGCTTTAAAATTGTTGTGCAGTGATGAACTTACACATCAACTATGACATAAAATTTCCCAGAGGTGCTTTTTCAAGGGGCAACTGGACATTCTGGATTTTCTTTGTAGACATTTCACTTCTCAGATTTTGCTTAGTTTATTGTCATTGCACATCGTACAACGAAATCAAACACCATCTTCAGTGCACATCATGACCATGAAAATAAACACAAACACACATCCTTCACTCTCCACACATTGAACCGAAAACCCCAACACTGCACTATACAGCAGAATTCAAAAGAGTTACTTCCCTGGGATAGAAGTTGTTTTTCAGCCTATTTGTACTTGTTTTTATTATCCTGTAGCATCTGCTAGATGGTAATAGTTCAAAAAAAGATTCCCAGGATGAGATGGATCTTTGAGAACGTTTTGAACTTTCTTAAGGCAGTGGGAGCTATAAAGCTCTTCCAAAGAGGGGAGAGGGCAACCCATGATCCTCTGGGCAATGACGTTAACCCTCTGGAGTGCTGTCCTATCTGCCACTGTGCAATTGGCAAACCATACAGAGGTGCAGTAAGTTAAGATACTCTCTATGGTGCAGCGGTAGAAGGTCACCAGCAGTTTTTCATTCAGTTGTTGCTTTCTGAGAAGCCTCAGGTAGTATAATCTCTGCTGGGCCCTTTTGACCAGTGCTACAAGGTGAGCACCCCAGGTCAGGTCCTCAGAAAAGAATGAATAAACCAGAAAGTCCAGTTGACTGAGAAATTTACCATATAAAATCATCCACATATTCAGAAGTGTTCAGCTGAGAGCTGAACATTTGAATCAGCCCCCTAATTTTTTTAAAAATTAGGAGCCGAATATCCTGCAAACTCAAGAATAAGTTCCACTCGGCTTTCATTACACAATAGATTTATTTATTTATTTATTTATTTATTTTCGTAATATATTACAATTCTTTCTACATATCCAGATTATAAATACTGCATTGTGCCTTTTAAATTTTTGTTTGTTTGTTTGTTAATCCATGGATTTGTTATGCTTGAAATATTAAACAAAGTACAAAACCCACGAATATAAAAATATAAAAGTAACCGAAAACAACACTAGTCAAAATAGCTTCATGGTACTTTCTGTAAAGAAAAGTCTTTCAATGTATATCACAACTTGCTAGAGCTCTAGGTGACCTTGGTGGAAAATTTGCTAAACTCTGGCATTATTTGCTAATTTTTAAGCATTTCTGAAGCCTCTGAAGAGGTTCATTTCAGTAGGAAGCCTTCTTTGAAAGGATCAGAAATGCATCAAGGCCTGGGTACTAAAAACAGAGCTTTTCATGAAAATAGGTGCCCTGCTCTTCAGTAGCTTTTAGTGGCTTATTTTTAACAGCAAGATTTAGATTTAGAAAGAAAGGGCCCTTCGATGGAAGAGATAAACATGAAAGAGGATTTAGTAAAAGCAGGGGCTGTACTGTCAGACCCTTTTCTTAGGCTCCACCAACCACACTCCTGAAACCTTTTCTTTGCTGACCAACCCAAAATTCAAAGGATTTTGACAGAGCCTATTTCCATCTTCATGTAACTGCATAGGAAGATGGCCTCCTTATCAGATTTCACAATGTCCATGTGGTTCAAAATGAGGATGAAACGATTGTCTATGACTTTCAGCAAGGCCTGATATAACTTCAAGCTCTCTCAAGGCCTTGCATGGCCTCACCAGGATTCTTTCTTGCAATTTCTTCTTCTTTTTATCATTAAAAAAAAAACAAAGGGCGGGGGGAATTCATATTTTTCTCCCCTCCTGTATTCTGGGTATGAATACGGTGGGTTTCAGGACAAGGCAATGTTCGGTGCAAGTTCCAGTGGTTGTCATTTTCCGAGAAGTCCTTATACAGACTGTGAACTCAGAGAGATAGCCGGGCCGTAGGCAACATAGCAAGACTGAGAAGCATCGTCCCTGAGCATTAAGAGTTCCGTCTCTTCACTGGGATACATGGTAATGTCCATGTCATCTGAATGATAGCCTGATTGATAGCCGCTGGTGGGATTGGAAGCTTCAGACGCCACAGATTCGTTGCTTTTACTGGAAATAAGCCCGCTGAAAAATAAATATATATATATGAAAAAAATGGCTAATTGGGCACCAGGATTCAGAATATGTGTAAATGGTATGTGAGAATGACCTGGGGAGATAGGAGGAAGACACCCAGAATGGACAACCAGCATGTAAAAGATGTTCCAGCCCACAAAAGGGGAGGAATTAGTACACAAAACTATGCTGCTTTTCTGGAATATCAATATGGGATTTTTGCCTTTGCCGTCCATAAATATGGAGGGTACTCTTGTCTGGTTTGGTACTACAGCAAGCAAATTGGGACAGGTACAGACTTCAATGGATAGTCAGGACTGTAGAAAAAAACAACCTCAGCCAGCCTTCCATTGAGGACTTGTATGCTACAAGGTCAGAAAGAAGGCTGAGGAAATATCTACAGACCCTTCACCTCCTGGATGTAAATTGTTTCAATTCCTCCCCTAGGATGGCACTATAGGGCATTGCATGCCAAAACAACGAAACACTCACAGTTTTATCTCTCGAGCCATCACTCCGCTGAACACCTAATTCTCACAGCACTGTCTTGTATCTAAGTATATTTACCCACATTGTATGGCTGCAGTATTATTGTTATTATCATTCCCACCTTCTTTACGACATCTTCTTACTGGTATTATTATGATTATTATTACTCTGTTGCTTTGCATGTACACTGAGAGCTTCTGCACCGGAGACAAACTTGGCCAACAAAGTATTGTATTCTATATTCTACCCTGTTCCATGTGGATGAAACACAGGGACAGATGGAGAAGCATTTTCATCTATCAGTGACGTCTCTCCATAACAAGCTGCTATGGAGGGAGAGAGGGAAAGGATGCTGGAATAAATAAGCACAGGATACAATCGGATCTGTGATTCCCAAAGTGACATTGGAACCCCAGGAAGTCAAAATGCAGGCGGACAGTTTAAGCCTTAGCTTCTGGTACTGTGCACTGACATGCTCTTTTCTTTCACCTCCCACCATCTCACAGCAAATCCCTAGAGTGTGGCATCATTGATGTAACATTACCAGGTAAGAGGAATAAATCTGTCCAAAATAGAGGTGGATAATTGTAGATATTTCCTCTCAAGTAGAGAATTTTATTTATTTATGGATTCATTTGTACCTTTATGTATGTATGTATGTACCATATTTCCCTGAAAATAAGACCTAACTGGAAAATAAACCCTAGCACGAGTTTTTCCAGCGTGCTCATAATGTAAGCCCTACCCACAAAATAAGCCCGTTAAGATCATCAGCCAGATGGATGTATTTGATAATCATATTTCCCTGAAAATAAGACCTAACCAGAAAATAAGCCCTAATGCATCTTTTGGAGCAAAAGTTAATATAAGACCCAGTCTTATTTTCGGGGAATCATGGCATGTATGCATGTATGTATGTATGTATGCATGTATGTATTTATTTATTTATTAAATTTATTTTCCTCCCATTTCACCATAGGGTAATTGTGGGTGGCTTACAGGCAAAAAATATGTCTATACATACACAATTAAAACATAAATAATAAAAACCAAACATCAAACCCGAAGGACACATGGGGAGGACGGGGGCAGAGGTGGGGGGAGGTGGGCTTCATTGTTTCTCGATCAACCACCCTGTTCTGACCCAAGCCTTGTTCAGATCAAGCAAATACAAAGTATATATAAAAACAACCCTTTTTAATGCAGCGCTGTGAATTCTGTGCATTCACAGCCAAGAGTCATTTAAAGCTAATTGTCCCAGATAAGAGGCAGTCCTTTCAAGGTTGCGAAAGGCTGCCAAGGACAAAAGACTAATTGCAGATAAATATCCAAAGCCAGAAGAAAAAAAAACCGGAGGATGGGAACTCTGAGCATAAAGAACTTCTTTGCTTCCTGCAAAGAAGCCAACCCCGAAGGGTGGCTTTTATCCCTTATGGGAAGGGCCATCACCTTCCAGCCTTACTCCCGAGTCGCTTGGGCTGCTTCAGCTGCTCTTTCCTTCAAGCAGGCTCCCTGGGTCCCTCTTTGTCACTGCTGTCAGACTCCATGACCTCCAAAGGAAGCACCCCACTCTCCGATAGTCCTGGCCCCATCCCTGCATCGCATACAGGCCCCTCATCTGAGTCCTCACTTTCAGAGACCTCAGCCATCTGCACCTGCTGCTGGTGAACCACAATATACCCCTACTGTGCTGCTCCTCCACTGGGGCCTCTTTGATTTTTTCTTTATTGGGAATCACCTTGATTGATTGATTTATTTTTAATAAAATGAGCATAATGATTGTTTCTCCAGATTTACCTGAAGGGCAACATCACTTCTTTAGCTTTCTCTTCTAATGCCTTTAGTTCTTCGGATGCAAGAATCATCCCACTATCTGTCTGATTTTCCTGAAAGAACCCAGGGGAAACAAAATAAAACAAAAAGGCTGTTTGGACAATCAATGGAAACAGACCGATAGACAGACAGACCAAAAGCTGCCCCCCACCCCCAAAAAAAGAAAGGCGCTATAAAATGGACTTACATCTTGAACTACTTTTATGGTTGGTTCTACGGGCACAGATTCAAAAGTCTTGACGCTCACAGGACGGCTGTTTCTTTTACTTCCTGTGCGATGCTGACTAAAAAGAAAAACATGTCTTGTTAGGGTGCCGAAGCTTAGTAAAAATTGGATAGTTGAAGCTTCACTTTCCTCCTGCAATTATTATCCAAAAGCAAGCTTGTACAACTAACACAGAGGTGGATATTCAGCAGGTTCTGACCAGTTCTGGAGAACCAGTAAGTGAAAATTTTGAGTAGTCTGGAGAACTGGCAAGTACCACCTCTGACTGGCCCCGCCCCCATCTATTCTCCGCCTCCCGAGTCCCAGCTGATTGGCTGGGTCTTCTTTGGTTGCCCTGCACAGGAGAATGGAGCTGGAAAGCAGGTTAGTGGGATGGAGAGGGAATGGGGATTTTGCAGGATATTCTTCTCCTGGAGTGGGGTGGAAATGGAGATTTTACAGTATCCTTTCCTTGCATGCCCACCAAGCCACGTGACACCCACCAAGGCACGCCCACAGAACCAGTAATAAAAAAAATCTAATACCACCCCTAAAATAACATCCCACCAAGCTGTGATCGTCAGCAATTTTGACCCCAGGCCTCTCTCAAAAATTGCCAGACTCTCGTATGATTTGAATGATTACAATGGCATCCAATAGAAAGAGGTACTTCCTATGGATTCAACCCCTTGATGCAGGGGTGTCAAACTTGCAGCCCGTGGGCCGGATGCAGCGGCCCATGCCCACCCCTGGTTTAACGAAGGAGGGGGAAGTCCCAATATGTCATGTAATGACAACATGATGCCGCGGGTTTGACACCCCTGCCTTGATGCATCTAAGTGCTATACAAATTCTGCAACTTATATTAGATTACATGAATGCTTTGTACAGGGGTGTATGTTAATGTGCATGTGTGGATATGTGCATATTTAATGTCACCCTATTCTGTCCCTGAAGGCTGCTTCTTACACTTCCTAGGTAATCCACCAGGGGTGGGATTCTACCAGTTCGCACCTATTTGCTAGAACCGGTTGTTAACATTCTAAGCAGTTCGAAGAACCGGTTGTTAGAATAAATTACTGGCCTAATCCTGTAAGGAAGGCAGGAAGGAAACATTCTGGTGTTGCTTACAGAGACTGCCTCTCCGTTAACCCTTATTACATTCTTGGCAGGACTAGACTTCCTGTCTCAGGAACTTCTCTGGAGTTTTTTCCCTCCCCCTTTGCTGGTACTTTGTTTGTGTGGAGTGAATGACCATTCAAAGTTACAATGGCATTGAAGAAAGTGACTTATGACCATTTTTCACACTTACGACTGTTGCAGCATCCCCACAGTCATGAGAGGCCAGGCGAGGAGATGCGTGCCTCGATGTGAGTGATATTGAGTTGGCCACACCCAGCCAATAACATGACCACCAAGCCACGCCCACCCAGTCACATGGCCACCAAGCCACGCCCATCACCCAAGCCACGCCCACAGAACTGGTTGTTATAAAAATTGAATCCCACCCCTGTAATCCACCCTTCCAGCTGTTTGGCCAAACAGTTTCTTTCTCCCAGGGACCATCCTAAACTCATTTCCTGGAAAGAGGTCAACTGCATGGTTCCTTTAGATCAGCAGCCCTCAATCTTTTGGGCACCAGGGATCAGGTCTGTGCAAAAAAGTTTTTCCATGGACGGGAGAAGAGTGTGGTTTCATGTGCTACGTTAAATCCCATGCATGTGCAGATGAAACTTCGCTTGCTTATGCGCCCTGGTTCCTAATGGGCCATGGACTAGTATCGGTCTGCAGGTTGGGAGTTGGGACCTCTACTTTAGATAGCCTCCCTATATTCTCTCTCTCTCTCTCTCTCTCACACACACACACACACACATACAAATACACACACACACGCACATAAGTACGTAACTATAATTTAGCAAGTTTATTAATATTTCCCCACAACTTTCTTCACTAAAACCCCAGAACTGTCCCAATTTAGTCCAGCCACAAGCAGACTAAGTCTAGTCCACAAAGCCATGGCCAAGGAGTTCACAAGGCACTTGAAAGCTTCCCAATCAAAATAAACCCACCAGGCAAAATTAAATCCACAACGTAAGAGGGTTCACGAAGCAAGAAAAGCCCAAAGTTCACAAGGCACGATCCAAATCGAGGCAGGGTGTCAATACAAGGCGAGGCAAGAATCACAACGACCAGGAAAAACGAAAAATGACCGCTAGGAAATGAACACATGGTTCCCAGCATCACTTCCATCTGTCTGTTGTGCTAAATAGCCAGCTTCTGGGGCAGCCCTTCAAGAAGGGCGAGGCTGCCTCCTCATGAGTAATCTGGCTGACCTGCTCTGCTCCTGCCTTTTCTCTGCCCTACGTGTTCTTGGATCAGTTGCAGAAGGCAGTTCCTCTTCCTCATCCCTGACTGGCTGCAGCTGCGTGCTTTCCCCACCTGAAGCCTCAGGGTTATCCTGTCGCAGCTGTGCTTCAGGCAAATTCCTCTCAGACGGCTGCTCAGAGCCATTGACCAACTCCCCTCCAGATGTGCCTGGAAAAGGTTTGTCCTCCTCAGAGCCGACATCTAAAGAAGTACCTGAGGAAGCATCCAGGGGAGTCATCATCACACTCTGGAGCACTAGGGATGAGTGTAGATTGAATGAATATTGCATTCATCCAACAGGGACTGTGAGAGTATCAAAGGTTTTGAACCAGGGGTGGGCTGCTCAGGGTTTGCACCAGTGGTGGTATTCAAATAAAGTTGCCACCGGTTTGGTGGGCGTGGCTTTGCTCTGGCGATTGGTTGGCCCCACCCACCTTCCCCTTGCTTTAGCCTGTCCTTTATTTCTGCAGTTTTGAAGCTCAGCTGAGGCGCAGCACAGCGGATTACTGTACCTCAGCTGTTTTACTCACTGGCGTTGATATGGTAAGTCAGTTGTAAAGCTGAACAATTGTGGTTTTGTAATGTGCGAACCCCGTTGTGAAACTGGTCGAAGCCCACCACTGTTTTGAACCTCTGCCTGGGTAATGACAACACTGGTGGTCTTTAAGTTAGGACCACAACCAAGCCCCAAATTGTGGTTGCTTAAGTGAAACTTTTGTTATACCCCATTTTATGACTTTTCTTGCCACAGATGGGAAGTGAATCATTGCATTTGTTAAGCTAGTAACATGGTTGTTAAATGAACCGGGATTCCCCATGGATTTTGCTTGTCAGAAGGTCGCAAAAGGTGATCACATGACCTCCCCAGGACACTGCAAGCGGAGGTTGGTATCCAGTAGGTTCTGACCAGTTCTGGAGAAATGGTAGCGGAAATTTTGAGTAGTTTGGAGAACTGGTGATAACCTTCCCCCAGGAGTGGGGAGGGAATCCCCTGCCACATGCACTAAGCCATGCCATGCCCACCAAGCCATGCCCACAGAACTGGCAGTAAAAAATTTTTGAATCCCACCACTGTTGCCAAGCATCTGAATTTTGATCATGTGACCATGGGGGGGGGGAATGCTGCAATGGTCGTGAGTGTGAAAAACGATCACAAGTCACTTTTTTCAGTGCCTTTGTATAACTTTAACAGTCACCAAATAAACGGTTGTATATCGAGGACTATCTGAAGTGCAGTGGATCCTTGTGATAATGTGAGGATGGTGTAACCCTTGTTGCAAGTTCATGAACTTCCCATACCTTCAGTGTGTGGAAACTACATGGCTCTTCTAGCAACAGTGTTGTCATGCCCCTGTCGGAATCTGATTCCGAGGGGAAGGCCAAGCAGCTGACAGGGAGTGGGAGTGGGAGTGTGGCTCTGTTGGCTGGGGAAGAAACTGGGGAAGGGCAAAGTCCGACTGGGCAGAGCAGGGGAGAGGTAGAGCAAGGCAGAGGGAATTCAGAGAAAAAACCAGGCCCACCCCCTCTTCATCCTAGGGCACCCAGGGAGGAACGGAGAAGGGAGCAACGTGAGTTGTGTGGCTTACGGGGGAGGAAAGGGCCCTGATTTCCTTCATTAGCTGCAGCTGGAAACACAGTGTTTAAAAAGGGAAGCTACGCACAGCAAAGTTGTTGGAAGCAAATCATGAGTTATCTGTTATTGTCGAGGCTTATCTGGGTTCCTGGCATCTTCCTAACTGTGTGTGTTTTGTTGGCCTTTCAAGTCTGCAGTTGCTTATCCTGCCCTGTCCGGTTAATTGCTGCAATGTGGTTTGTGTGGATTTTTATTTACAGTTTGTATGTACTTTGTTTTCGGACTGAATTCCCTCCACTTAAAGACTGTTCTTGGGAGAGTTTTTTCTCCAGCTGAAGGTAACTGGCCCTTGGGGGGCAAAGTTGGAGGTATTAAAGGGATTCTTCTTGCTTATTTGACTGTGTTGCCTTTGTGCCACACCCCGGATTATCACAAATGCCTTCGTTACATGGACTATGAAGGCATTTCTGGGAAGTTAAAATGAGATTGTAGACAATTCACTCATCTATTGTTTACTTGCTCATTAGTCACCTCATCTCTTGGGTAGGATACAAACTGTTATCATTTAGTGCACTGAAATAACGAGCAACACAAATGCCTTTCTCGTCTTTGCTAGGATCACAAACCACATCAAGTGTGAACCTTGGGAAGGGGTTGTTGAACGCTCCCAATGGAATGCTACAAACCTTGTTTGCGACGTGGTGTCATAATAGAACTGAGAATCGCGTACTTCCTCTTCTTCCTTGCAGGAAACAGGTGACATTGGCAAGGAGAGTCCAGAGTCTTCTTCGGTGTGGAGCAACGTAACTTGGGGGAGGATAACATAGTCTTTACCATCCTGGTGTGAGAGACAGACAAATATTGGTTTACTTTTTATTATTAATGAGAGGAGCGGATGAGAAAAAAAAATTCAGGAAGTTGGTGGCAGCCTGTAGAACAGAGGTAAGGAACGATGGCCCCTTTATGGCTGGTGGACTTCAACTCCAAGAATTCCTCAGCCCAGCAGGAATTCTGGGAGTTGAAGTCCACAAGTCATAAAACTCCATCGTTCCCCATTCCTGCTGTAGAACAGTTGTGTTACCTTGTGAACATTTGCTTGCAGTAAATTCCCCAAGCTCTCCACCAAATCTGAGAAGGTTGGTCTTTGTTTGGGTTCACCATGCCAGCAGTCCAACATTGTCTGATACCTGGAGAATTAAGCCTACTATAAATACATATGTCCCAGAATAAAACCCATTCAGCTACTTATTGATGGTTATTGTTACAAGGAAGAATGGAAGAGTGGGAAAAATAGATTTGCTTTGCTTGGTTTTGCTTTTCTATCCCATTAACATGAAAGCCACCTTGGCCAACTAATGAATGTGTTTTATTTTAATTGGAGCATTCCCAAATGACATAGAAAACAAAACAAATGTACGATCAACCTCTGCTACAGAACATGTTTGCAACAGCAAAAGTTCTTACATTTCAGGTGTTGTATAATCCGGTGGCCTCATCCTCGTTCCTTCTTTCAATCTTCTACAGAAATCTTCATCAATTTTTACACCTGGGTATGGTGAGGCCCCTAAAATAATAGATTTCCTTTTTTAAAAAAATTGCCTTAAAATTCTGGTCTCGTTGTTCTGCTTACCTACACTTCACCAATATGAAAAATAGCCACAAATTTAACAGGTACATCACTTCAACCAAAGGTGGGACGATTGCAATACCCAACAGTCACCTAACTACAATTTCTGATATTTTTGCCAGTATCTGGCAAAAATATGCATTTAAGAATTGAAAAATTTGCAACACAAGAGCTTGTTTGAATCCCAGAATGGACTTGAGCTCCGTGCCCTTCCAAAAGATGAAAGTTAGCTGCCACTTGCCAGAAAAATACACCCATTCAAGCGAATGGGTTCTGACATACGACTGCATGAAGTGGACTTATAAATGTGTTATTTCCTTAGTAACCACTATAAAAATGTTGAAAAATCAGGTCTGATCATATGTGCGTCTTCTTGACCTACGAGTGTCAAAACAACCAAAATTACAGTCCCAATTGCATCAATAAATCAAGGACTATCTGTAGCTTAATAATGGGAACGACATTGTTATTTCACCACAAACATTTGGAAGGACCTGGAGATCAAGGCCACTCTAGGACTCAAACAAACTTGTATATTCTGAATTTTTTCAATTTTGGAATGCATGCTTTTCATAGATAATTCTAATAGTTTTCTGGTAGAGGTCAGGTTTCTAGCTCAAAACCATACCGTACAGGTACCGCATGGCTGAAATATGCTATCTCCAGCATAAGAATCCATAATAAATCTAATGTGACAACATTCATTTTTTTAAAAAAATATTGTTTTGATATTGTTTTGCTATACATTTTCCAACGAAAATAGAGGAGTCCTGTAATAGCATATAAAAAGGGCAATAATTTATTTATCATACTAGTCCAAGATATTTATTTTATGAGGGAAAAATTTCTTGAACTAACAAAACAGACACTTTCGCTCCCTCATCTTTTGAAACAGCTTCCTAGGTGTCAGAGCACCCCCCAAAATGGGATGTAATGTATTAAGGGGAAATCCTCCAAAATTAGATGACAAGAAGTTCCAGAGCCATTACAATCCATGGAAAACTTGATCAGTATAACAATATGAACAGGAATCAAACTCACAGACATCATTATCTTCTTTTAATGACCTCATAATCCCTTGTGAGGAGGAGTCTGAGCAAATGAATGGAGCCTCAATATTTACTGGCCGGATGCCCTTCCTGTCACCGATGCGGAGCTTTGTTCAGTGGGTATATTCTCATTGTGCCCAGAGAATGAAACATCTGCCTCTACCTAGGATTGAACTCACCGCCTCCTGATTGTGAGGTGAGAGCTCTACCTCTAGGCCACCGTACCACAATCAAACTCACGGACATAATTGGGCCTTACCGAAGGTCTTGGATTTTATTAAGGAGCAACAAATAAACATATTCCAAATGCTTGAATGCCTACTAAATATTCATTTTTTTTTGTTCTACATTGGTGGAGAAATAGATATCTACAATGACACTGCATTAAAAATAAACAAACATGGTTACATTTCAGTAGTCTTAATGTTAAACTTTGAAAATTAGCCAGCAAAGACATTTGACTTACCTAATGAAAATATCTCCCACAGCAACACACCAAAAGACCACACATCACTTTGAATTGTGTATACACGATCAAAAATGGTCTCTGGGGCCATCCATTTAAGGGGTAGTCTAGCCTAAATAGTTAAGAAACAATATTATATATCTAAAATGTCGCCAATCGATAACAAGAATATTATTGTCATAGTAATTTATATAAAAGTTAAAGTTATAGCGTAGTAAAACTTGAAAGCTTGTAGTAAACTGATTGCAACATGTTTTCAAATCAATGAGATTAAAGTGGGATTAGAGATTTAGGAAGTCATGGTTAACATTTCAAATAAAGGCCTCAAAATTTCAGACAGTGAACTTACATCTCCTTTCCTGACATAATCTGGATCTTTGTAGATATCTCGAGCCAGTCCAAAATCACAGATTTTGACCACATTGTTCTCCGATAAAAGGATATTGCGAGCAGCCAAATCTCGGTGTATACACTGAAGCAAGATAAACAATCAATCACTTGTCTGAATTCTTCCAGAAAATAGGGCTAACCTTATCTTAAAAGCTACAATCTCTGCAAGTCTTGATTGCATGACCTTATACTTAATAGTAAAAGATTGTCTCCCGATCTTTAAGCTACTTCCTTTTTACATGCATCACAAATGTGACACGTATTTTTTTTAAAAAGGTATGGTTTCTATTATTCTATCATGGCCATCATCTTGATTGTTTTCCTCCAGTCATAGATAATTCCTACTCTACAGAAAAATACTCTGCTCCACACCAAACAAGTTCTCTTGCAAATTGCATAGAGTAGAATAGAATATTAGCATAGAGTAGAATAGAATATTAG